TTGATTTAAGACAAATTTGAGATCCAAAAATTAATTGTATGTTTGTCCTTCTGGTGCCTGTGGAAGCTTCATGTTTTCTTTGGATGTCATTAGATGTCTTAGCTCTTGGAGTACAACTTTTTAATGCTGTTGGGTTCTCAGAAAAGTCATGATGTATTTTTCTGGTTTTTGTTGCAAAAATGCATCATGACTTTTCTGACAACCCAATATATGAATTTTGCCATTTTGCTAACTGGTATGCTCCGTGCATCCACCATTCCACTGGAATTATTCCATTCATATTAATTTTGGTCACAAATCTAACTGATGGAGGAACGCCTGGATATTCAGGTCCACATTCTACTTTCAAGCTATAGAGTCTGTTTTCATAATTTGTCCTTGGTGGTCCAATAATCATGCCTGTCCACCTTGTAAGTGTCACATGTTCTTCATCTTCAAGGCCCCAGCTAACCGTACCATTGCCTACTCCTTTTGTCCTTCTTCAAGTTCTTCCAACAAGTGAAAATTATAAGGAAGTTTTAACTCCTGTGGAGACTGCCATCTTGCCCTGCAGTCCCTGGTGACTTCTCATCCTACCACTTATAGGTAACAGTAGTAGTAATAGTAACAACAACAACAATAATAATAAGTTGCAGTAATAATAACAGCAGTAATGTTGACACCTTTTGGGTGTGTGCTATGTACCTGCATTGTGCTCAAATCTTTTCCTACGTTAACTTTCCTTGTTTCTTCCATTTTTAATTGCCCTCCCCCCCAAAACAAAATCTGGAACCAATACATGATTTGGGCTTAGAGGTGAATATAGAACTGGTGATTTCAAATCCTAACTCTTGTCACATATTGTTGGTGGCGGCAGTAGTAGTAATTGTAGTAATGTTAATAAAAATATTATAGTAACAGTCATCACAGCACCGGTGGTGGTAATGTCTTTTGGGCAGGGCTGAGGCTTGACCCCTCAGCCCCAGCTCTGCATGTCTCCTGGTCCTGTGCTTGCCTGTTAAACGCCCAGCCCAACATGAAGTTCTTTTCTGCCTTATTAGCAGGTCTAAAATGGATCATTTGGTTTATCTGTGATTACAAAGTCAAGAGTAGATAAGCTTAGACTTATTTAACAATTCATGTTTCAGTACTTTATCGTGTTTGGAAATGATCTACATACTCAGTGAATTTAACTTGACTCATTTAACTTAACCTAGCAAAACTCGGAGGTTTCAAGTTACCAAAAGATTTTCAGAAACTATTTAAGGACACATACCATGCAACTTAAATATTGCTGAAAAGTTTACCTAAAAACTTTTTAACCCATCTACATCTATTTATTTTACTTATTCTCAATTATTATGTTTAGGTTAATTATGAGAATTTTGTCATACCGAGTTATTTTTCTTGCTGACAAATTTTGCAACAGAGAAAACAGGGTCTAATAAACCCAGGTAGAATAAATGTGTTATACTTAAGAATGATGCTCTAAGGACTTGCCTATTTAACCAAATCAAACTCAAGGAAGTTTTAATATCAAATATTTTTCAGATCATGTGATCCTGAAAAGGCATTTGGGTAGTTTTCTATTATATTTTTGAGAATTTTTATATAAGCATTTAATTCCTTTAAGCTAATTAAACAGCTCTTTACAAACTATTTCTAGTAATATTCTCTGGAGATAGACTACATACACATATAGTTTTTAACATTTTAGCCATGAGGCGGGTACAATAAAGCAAAAACCCTACTAGTTTATAGCAGTTGAAATAATTTTATTTGTTCAGATGGCTAAGGCTTTTTCTTATTAATATTTGTGAAGGAGACAATTAAGATTTGTGTTTGTTTTTGGCAAGGAGCCTTGGATCAGAGCAGCAGTTTATGCTTTAAAAAACAAACAAATGAAAACTCCTCGGCTGCTATATTTTATCTTCAGTCCTAGGATTTAAGGATGGCAAAGATAGGTGGGCTTTGAACTACTTCTAGAATTGCATTTCTAGTTTCACAAAGATTTGTAAGATAAGGACACTTGCTCTCAATTTCCCAAAGAATTTGGTTGTAATTTAACGTCATAGGTTGACCTACCCATCGGGACAACAGCATTTCTAATTTGCTTCTTTTCCTCTGGGTACATTGTTTATGTGAGTTTAGGGGAGGACGCTTTTAAAAAGTCCTTTTGTCTCTTAGAAGCTTCTGCATATCAATCAAAGAATGCAGTCCATTCTCCCTGAGAGGTTTAGAATCCTGTCCTTTAAGGCAGGGGAGGGAGCCCTGAGATGGACTTAGAAGGTTTTCCTGAATGGCCATTAGAGTTTTAAATTATTTTGGCTAAATTGGTCCATTTTATTAAAAAGGCACAAGAGGAGGGACCAAGATATTTATACGTTGATTAGCTAGAGTTCCCAAGGAAGGAACTTTTTGGGAACTTTTAGAGGGCGAAGATCCCATGTTACAGATAAATTCCCTTGAAAGCTGTCACGGCCAGACAAAATGACCAAAGAGATGTTAATCTCCGCCAAATGCCCGCTGATACATGTATTTTTTGGATGGCAGGGATCAAAAAGCCAACTTTCAGGATTAGAGATGAGCTCTGCATTTTTTATTTATTTTTTCATTACAGGCACATTAAGCCTTGGGGCTCCTGTAGCCAGACTTAATACCTAAGGGGTGGGGGGTGCCTCGGAGTTGTAGATTGTGTTCCATTTTACAGCATTCTTCAATGCATGGCAATTTTTCTTGAGGTTGGCAGGTGATCTAATGTCAGTATAATAACCCCTTTTGTGACCAGACTTCAAAGACATAGTACTAAAAAAATGTAAAAGTTCTCATTACTAATTTTTATATGGATCACATGTTGAAATGATCATTTTTAGATATATTGGTTTAAATAAAATGTGTTATTAAAATTAGTGTTGCCTGTTTCTTTTTACCGTTTTTTCATGATAAGATTTAAAATTACATATGTGGATTGCATTTGTGATTTGTGTTATATTTCTTTTTAAAATTATTATTAGTTTCAGGTGTAGAAAACAACATAATGATTAGACACTTACACCCCTCACAAAGTGATAACCCCAACAAGTCTACTACCTCTCTGACACCATATATAGCTATTACAATACCATTGACTATTCCCTATACTACTGTACTTTACATCCTGTGACTATATATATATATATTTATAGTTGACATTCAATATTTATATTAGTTTCATGTGTACAGTGCAGTAGTTAGGCATTTATATAATTTATGAAGTGATCTCCCGATAAGTCTAGTACCCATCTGACACCCTACATAGATTTTACAACATTATTGACTGTAGTCCCCATATTGTATTCACATCCCGTGACTATTTTGTGACTATCAAATTGTATTTACTAATCCCTTCCCCTTTTTCACCCAGCCCTCCAACCCCCTTCCCATCTAGCAACCATCAGTTTATGCTCTGTATCTATGAGTCTGTTTTGTTCGTTTATTCTGTTCTTTAGATTCCACATATAAGTGAGAGCATTATATTTATTGGATGGCATGTCACTAAGAAAGTTGCGGATTCCCAAAATATTAAATCTAAATATAAAAAGTTTCTGACAAACTTTGGAGTGGCGCAAAGAGTCAAATCATAAACAGCTAAAGGTGATGTCTGTTTTCTCCTCAGATTCAGTGCTCTAAAGAAGTAGGGTGGTCCAGGCTTCATCCAGTTACATCCAGATGCTCTGTGATCAGGAGGCTTCATGCTCTAAAATGGCAAACGGAATTTACCACTATCTTTCCCTTTCCTTTACCTATTCCAAAGGCTTATAAATCCATTTTTAGTGTGAGGCTCCTGAAGTTAGCCTAGTTAAAACTGGGGGTGATGGAAGAAGGGTGCCACTCCATTCAGAGCCCCATTGGTCTGCTAATGAGGGTTTTTAAGAATCCAGCCAGCAAAAACAGACGCCTTGTTTCTTAACCCAGAGTCCTTTGGGGATTTGAGAGTAGATACTGGGAGCAGCAGTACTGTGAAGAAAAAGAATACAACTGGTTTTCTTACTAGAGTTTCTGCCACATAACTTTCTGATTTTATTTGATAATTTTTCTCGTAGTAAGTATCTGATAGACCATCTTTTTTCAGACATTCAACAAACATTTATTAATCATTAACTGTGCCAGGCACTATTCTAGACCCTAAAGATACATCAGCAAATAGAACAAATAAAGCGGACATCCTAGAGATATACCTTAATTGCTAAGTTGTAAGTTAAATGGGCTTCTGCCAAGTGCCCTTTACTTATAATGTGTTAAGTTAACCCTTGACTTGTATGATATTTTATCTCCTCAAAGGGCTTGAGAATTTGCCTTCTTGCTTTTATTATGTTTATTTATTGCTTCCAAAGAAAAAGGAAGTGTACTTGTGGAGGGGAGCAGCAACTCTGCGCGTGTGTGCTGTTATTTCTTTTCTTTCTTAGCCTGCACTCAGGTAATTCTCCCACAGGAAACCTAGGCATGGGAACACGTAACTAATTGGATGTGACTTGACTGCTGCAATTAACAGTGATTTTGGAAGTTAACTTTAAAGAAAACATGAATCCTTATTCATATTTCATCTGGGAGTTACTATACTAGAGTACCAAAATAAGGTACACTAGTATAGTAACTCCCAGATGAAAAACAATATAATCACTATCAACATTTTGCCAGCTCTCCTTTATTGTTGGTTTTCCTATTCTCAAAAAGAAATCCATATTATCAATTGGTTGATATATTACCTTTCCTGAAGCCATTTTTGTTTTTGTTTTTAAAGAATAAGGAATTGCCTCTTTAGCCTTATCTTCAATAGGTTTCTATTTATCTAAAGAGACGTTATTTCCGAAGCTGCCTTATAATTTTATGTTTTTATCTGAAGAGAAAGTAGAATATCTTGTATGTCATTTCATTTGGTTGGACTTTTTTCTGTCAGTGAATAACAACTTTGGTTGCTGAATAACTTTAAATATCTGCTCTCTGCCTGCATTTTGACCATAATATTGCAATATATTTTTCAGGTTTTCAATTCAAAAACAGCTGAACTACTTAGTCACCATCAAGTGGAAATCAAACAAGAGTTTCCAAAAGAAGGGTATGTTTCCTAATTTAATATGTAAAGATATATCACATTTATTAGTCCATCTCACCCCACTGCCCGGGGGCTTTGTGACTTAAACCTGACTGAAGACCCTCCTGAGAAGACTTAAGGGATAGGTATTAGTCAAAAAAAGAAGCAATAACTTGGTAGCTCAGCAAAACATGTGGGTAACTGATGGCTTAGGAATTCAGAGGCAGAAAAGAAGGGGATGATAAAGTAATAAAGCCAGGGAGTATTAAATATCGGAAATTCAACATTGAATTTGAAGTTTACTTCTGTGTCCCCATCACTGCCAAACCGCTGCTTTGCTGATTTGAGTATAAGGGTTTTTTCTTAAATAAAGATATGTGTTGTTGTTTTTTTAAAAGATTTTTTTTATTGGGGAATTGGGGGAAGGGGAACAGACAAGTTGCTGTCCTTTTGTTCTTCAGTCTAGTGGAGGACGTTGCTTCACTGGCCCAAGTTGCACCATCATTGCGCTCTTCCTGGCGAGGCAGATCAGTCGCCGGCTTCTGGACGGGCGCTCACTGTGGCTGCTGGCCGCTCACGCTGGCTGCTGGCTTCATACGGTGGCGTAGGCTGCAGGCCCTGTGGCAGTCCCCAACTGCTGGCTACATACGGTAGCCCATGGCAACCCACTGCCACAGGGGCTGCAGCCTACGCCTTAGCCTACTCATAACAGCCCAGCTCCAGGTTGAGCTGTTGTTCAGCATCTTAGCTGTAGAGGGCAGTGTCACTGGCCCTCATGTGGGATCCGAACCGGGGCCCTCTGGCGCCCCAAGCCAGCTCTTAACCATTGCGCCACTCAGCTGGCCCAAGATTTGTGTTTTAAAAAGCATTCACATATCTAATACTAAAATCATCCTATTGGAGAATAATGTTCATATGTAGTAATTGTGATTAAATAGAATGCTAAGTATATTTAAAATGTATTGAGGTGTGTGAAACAACCATTTTGAAAAATTCTGTGGCAGTTTCTTATAAAATTAACCATACATCTGCAGCATTGCACCCTTAAGGAATTAATCCAAGAGCAATGAAAGCTTATGTGTATAGAAAGACTTAGACATGGATGTTTGTAGCAGCTGTATTTATAATAACCCAAACTGGAAACGACCCAAATGTCTGTCATTAGTAGAGAAGAAAGGTATTTGGAATTCCCTTGCTACTTGCAGATCCTAGGGTAGGATTCTTTAGCTTGTATCATTTCTGCTTTTGGGTTTCCTCAGTCACCATTTATTTCTCCCACGGTTCTCTTCCTTGTCCTTTATTATGTGCCTTTCAGTCTTCTGAGGCCCTGGTACCTTACCAAAATTGCACTGAGATTGGGTCGGAAAACTTCGACCAGTCGCCTGTCTTACTTGAAATAGTTATTACAGCAAATTTAAATTTCCCCTAAATTCTAACAAAATGTTTTGAGAAAAAATGGCAAGAGAGATTAGTTAGTATACTTACTTGACTTTTCAGAATTCCTTTTGCTTCATAGAGAGATATCAGTCCACTTAGAAATAACTAGTGAAACATGCTTATATAGTTTATCAATTCATCAGACCCACAGGATATAAAGAATCAGGAAACTAATTTCTTATTGGATTTGAAAACATGATTTAAAAATAGGCAGAATATTTGCTATTTTGTGACCTGTTATTACTTACTTGCCTCCTTTCAAATGATTAATTACTGTATGAAGAATAATGAAAATGTAAGGGAAATGGACTTCCCTTTAAATCGTTTTAGTGTTAGGTATTCTTTACTTTGCTTATCTGATTTTAATGTATGTACCAACCATACCACCATAAGCTAATATTTCTAGAGAAATAAATTGCAGTTGTATTGCTTTCTTGTGGACTAACCAGATACATTCTTTTGTTCAAAGATGGGTGGAACAAGACCCTAAGGAAATTCTGCAGTCTGTCTATGAGTGTATAGAGAAAACCTGTGAGAAACTTGGACAGCTCAATATTGATATTTCCAACATAAAAGGTATTTTCATAGAATATTTTACTCCATGGTATGATTATTTATCTCAAGCAAATTAATTAATTCAGCACATAATTGAGTGCCTATGCAGCCGTAAGCATTTGTGTGGGAACCGAGGATACAACAATATAAACAGGAAGATCAGGTCCCTGTTTTCTTTTTTTTTTTAAAGATTTTTATTGGGGAATTGGGGGAGGGGAACAGACAAGTTGCTGTCCTTTTGTTCTTCAGTCTAGTTGTGGAGGACATTGATTCACTGGCCCAAATTGGCACCATCATTGGGCTCTTCCCGGGCGAGGCAGATCAGTCTCTGGCTTCTGGACGGCCGCTCATGCTGGCTGCTGGCTACACACGGTAGCCCATGGCAACCCACTGCAGCAGGGGCTGCAGCTTCCGCCATCGCTGGCCACTCACAGCAGCCCAGCTCCAGGTTGAGCTGTTGTTCAGCATCCTAGCTGTAGTAGGGCAGTGTCACTGGCCCTCATATGTGGGATCCGAACCGGGGCCCTCTGGCGTACCAAGCCAGCTCTTAACCAGTGTGCCACTCAGCTGGCCCCTGAAATATTGTTTGAGAGTGTTAGACTATTACACATCTCTCTGTATCTATCGACCTAAGCTTGGCTTTGCTTCATTTATACAGGGAGAAAAAAAACCCACCCATCTAATCATCTAAAATTCACATGCTAGTATGAAGGCATAATATGGTAATCACCATCTCTTTATAGTTGAAATTTTTCAAGTTCATTCAAGGGCTATTTCCTTCATTAGGTAGTTTTATTCTAGGTAGGGGAAGCCATCAGTTGGTGACGGTGGTGCCCTGAGATTCACGCATCTTTCTTGGCTCTGAGATTTATCAGCACTCCTGAGATGAAACTTTGATTCTTTTTTCAGGCTTCCCCCTATTTGTATACATAAAACTTGCTTTAAAAAGACTAAACATAAAACCATTGATTCAGCAAACTCAGAGTACCTACTATGTGCTGGGTGTATGTCAGGGAAACAGTAGAGCACAAATAGGATCGTGCAGCCAACAGTCAAGTGGGGGAAACATGTTAATCCAATAATCACAATAATTACAAATTAATTCATTGTAATAAGATAGTTGTTTCTGTTATTGCAGAGTTTTAAAAGAAATAAACACCCATTTAGATTTACTACTTTGTTGGCAATTTTTTTATATCCTACCCCTCATTTTATCCCTACATCTAAGTGGAAGTGCTTCAAACTTCTTTTAGAGCTGCATTCACCAAGTTTTAGATAGGTTGTGCATCAAAGGGATTGTTGATCATTTCCTTTCATTGTTCTCACAGCTTTCACAGCCTAACCTGCATAAGCATATAAAAGGCATTTAGGTGTACACTCTGCTAAAATATCTATCACCAAAGACTAAATCTTCTAGGTGGCTTCAAGCCATGTTCAGGCTGTAGATTCCAGGGTAATTGGCCAAGGTTTTGACATCAGTCTTATCCCCCTTTAGAGGCAAGGTAGACTGCATAGCATTGGCCTCTGGATCCACTCAGTGCCATTCCCTTTTCTCTTGTTTTGTTTGGTGTATGTGAAAATGACACACACCTTCTTTCCCTTCTATTCTAATTCCTTCATGCCAAGTAAAATTGCTCTTCTTCAGACGATCAAAATCCAGTGAAATAGCTTCCCCGGATTCTCTTCCAGCCCAAGACACCTCTCTAGGATTGGTTTCTTCCCAGGGTACACAGGTCTTATGCAGTGCCTATGAACTTTGTTTTCAGTGTTCTAATTTCTTAACATTTTTACTCTGAAATCCTCTGTTTTTTTTCAAGAAAACTTTCTGATGGTTAATTCCAACACATGTGCTTCTTTTAATAGTTCCTAATTTTAATTCCCTCTTTCTCAGAATAACACATTCAGGTTTTGTAATTCTGCACCTTAGTTCATCTGCCATTTTAGAAGCATGAAAGTTACATGCATAAAATATATATCCTGGCCTCACAGTGTTTTAGTTACATACAGATACTATAATTACTGGCATATGTAAAACCCAATGTGTTACTCTCATATCTAGTAGGTGTTCAGGCTTCACGTATATATTCTTTCTTGGGGGTATTTTTCTTAACACTGAGTGTCCCTAGTGAAATTAACTAGTTTAATGCTATATTCAACACCTCTGGTTAAATTTTGCTGAAAATTGCCTGTGAAAAGTTACCACAGTTAAGAAACTATACTTAGAAAAAAGCCTTTGGAAATACTCCAGGATGTTCTACTCCTGTCATATACCAACTCCAGGACGTTGTCTTGGTAGAATTATGGATGACATGCATCCTTATTTAAAAATGAAGTCATAATGAATCACTGGAACATACTAAAAAAAACTAAACTAAAACCACAAAGCAAAATAATAAAAGTTCCAGAGGAAGGCCCTGGGGCTACTAAAAGTGCCATACAGGAGAGGTATAAACCTTTTTAAGAAAATACTCTGGAATGTGTGTGCTTATAACAATTGCAAATGAGGTGTGGCCCCTGCTGGGAAGTTCTTAGGTGAATAAGGTGTCTTGAGACCCCTGAGGTGATGGAAATGCCTCTGACTGTGGCTAGGCAGAGGTGAGGCAGTGGAGGGAAGGGATGTGGCCATTTGTCCATAACTACTTTTGATTTAAGAGAAACTACCGTATTTGCCGGCGTATAAGACGACTGGGCGTATAAAACGACCCCCTAACATTTCCACTCAAAATACAGAGTTTGTTATATACTCGCCGTATAAGACTACCCCCTCTTCCGCACACCTTCCACACACCAAATAAAAGGTAAAACAATATCAGATTTGATTTGGCCCACTGAAGTGCAAACAAGCGTATTGTATTTCGTGTCACCACATAACCGTTTTGGCGATGTTGAGCCACCATGTCTGCTACATGTTTTTCGAGTTCTGGCCAGTGTGGGGTGCCTCTTCTTAATGCACACTTACCCCTTGGCATACTCTTTAATGCTTTCTCATTTGATTTCCAGTCCCGAACCATCTTTTCTGTTACTCCATATTGTCTTGCAGCAGCACAATTATTATTTTCCTTAGCAAAGTTTATAACTTTCAGTTTAAAATTTGCATCATACTTCTTTCTTTTGGCTGGTGCCATGATAGGGATGATAGGGGTTTGACTGGTCGACATTTTCTATGCTGTACTGTACAATGGTGCAGTATTGTGGTTGGCTGTTGGCTGTATACAAAGCCTGATTTGATTGGTCCCTGCTCCCTGTTTGCCCGCCCTGTCACTATAGCAGTCTGGTCCACCCTTGCATCAGCATCTCCCTGGGACCTCACTAGTGCGCAAGTGCGAGCTCTTCAACATTCTAACAGGCACCATGATAGCGCAAAATCGCGAATCTTCAATGCATATGTAAAGAAATATACGGTAACCCGAATTTACCACACGCAAAATCGCATAACAGCCGAGCATACACCCAGCAGCGCTGCTGATGCCTGAACGGTATGTGGAATGAAGTGGGCGGGCATCGGGAGGCCACTATGGCACGGGGCAAGCACTATGGGCAGTCTATCTGAAGTGTACCTGGCGTATAAGACGACCCCCCACTTGGAGGCATATTTTTCAGGGCCAAAAAATCGTCTTATATGCCGGCAAATACGGTAATTCCCGGGAATGCTATGTATGCTCTCAGCTTTGAAACAGTGTTTGTTGTTTCGATTTTATCAAGTGGGAGAGGATGAATGAGGAGTATCTGGTATTGTAATTTTATTTTTCTCCTGAAGAACAAGTATTTAAAATTATGTAGATTAGTGACTCCTAGATTCAAATACTACTGTAATTTAATTATACCAGGAGGGCTTAATGATGGTTAGAAATACTACTTTAGATGTGAAAATTGTCAATTAAGAATATAGCAACATAATGTGAATTTTAGTTTATTTCATTTTTAATCTAACTTTTTCGCGTGGATAGTATTATACGCTTTGATTAGCATAAATATGCACTCTTTCTTAAAGTAAAGTGAATAAAGTTTTTCTTTGTACTTTATAGTTCCATCAGTCCAGTGACAGGCAAACAGAGCAGCCCGACTCTCTAAGTCAAGAAGGAAAGAAGCAGCCTATTTGCTTGCAGTGGGCTTATGTGTGCAGTTTAGCTAGAGAGTGGACTCTAATTTCGGAGGCATTGTTCATAGGGATGTGAAATCAACAAGCTTTCTGACAGATGAGGACAACTAAAACCAATGAAACTGGAATTTGCAAAAGAAATACAATCAGCTATGATGAACTCTTAATGATTATCGGGTAAGACTATAAGGCAATTGCTCTTCGGCTGGAAAAACTCATTTATTTGCCATACTGGAACTGAAAACTAAAGTGGCTTGTGAGATTATCACTGTGGCTTGGGGAAAAAAGAGCACCAGACCAGGAGATGGGAGCTGTGCTTTATTTTTTATTTTATTTTAGCTGAGCCATCCTGCCACCTGTTGGCAGCTGTTGGCAGCTCAGCTTGGGCTGGGAATCAAACCAGTGACCCTGTTGCTCAGAGCTCACACTCTTGAGCGAGCTCTTTTTTTTTTGATGAGTGAGCTCTTAACCAACTGAGCCACTTGGCCAGACTGAGCTGCGCTTTAATATTAGTTATCTACCACCCCATAGCTACATAAGCTGCAGTAAGTCCCTTTCCCTCATTTGCAGCTAGATCTAACTGATAGAAGATCCTTGACAGCATTGGCATTCTGTAATCTAGACTTCTATATAGGCAAGCAAAAAGCTTGACCCTTGCTTGCCACTGAGTGACCCTTGTGAAATTAACTAACACTGAGAGCCAACCCAATAAATAAATCTGGGAAAAAATTTTTAGTACAGGTGGCTTGGTATGGAGGAGCATGGAACATTCTCTTAGGCTGGCAGTTGTTGAGAAGGAAGTGCTGGGTCACTTTGTCTCAGGTATGGGTTTCTATACACAGAGGAGTAGAGAGCAGAGAGCAGCATGTTTTCAGTATTCTTACAGACCAGCTAATACAAGCGGAAGACAAGTCACTTGGACTGGAATTGTGTGTCATTTTCACATACATCAAAGAGAGAGAGAGAGAGAGAGAGAGAGAGAGAGAGAGAGAGAGAGAGAGAAATGGCACACAAGTGGGTTAAGAAGGCCAATGCTACGCAGTCTACCTTACGTATGAGGGGGGTAGAATGATGTCAAAGTCTTGGGTAATCTTCCTGGAATCTACAGCCTGGACATGACTTTAAGCCACCTAGATGATTTATGTCTTTGATAATAAGTACTTTAGCAGAGTGTGCTACTAAATGCCTTTTATATGCTTATGCAGTTTAGACTGTGAAAGCGGTGAGAACAATGAAAGGAAATGATCAACAATCCCTTTGATGCACAACCTATCTAAAACTTGGTGAATGCAGCTCTAAAAGAAGTTTGAAGCACTTCCACTTAGATGTAGGGATAAAATGAGGGGTAAAATGTGACCAATGACGCAGAAATATCTCTAGATTATATTCTGAACACAAGTTAGAAGGAGCCAATAAAGGAAGGTAGCATGAGGGGCATAGGTGACTTAAGGATTAAGGATTGTGGCTGAGGAAGCAGCCAGCCTGTTGATGGAAAATTAGTGTAGTGGGGAGGAATAGGAGATTTTAGTCAACCGTGCAGTCATTGTGAGCCCACATTGTAAAGTTGTCCCTTAAAGTCTCACATTCACAATACTCCACTTTAGTTAGCAACTGAGGTCTCTGGGTTCTGTTGTCCCCACAGTGTTGCTGGGGAATTCCTTTACGGGTCCTGCTTATCTCAGTCCCATGCTCTGCAACTTTTACTCTACTCTCTCCTCAATAATAATGACAATGAATAACAGCAGTAACATTTATTGAGTACTTACTAATGTGCCAGGCAGTATTTTTTGTTTTGTTTTGTTTTGTTTTTTAAAGATTATTTTGGTTTCTTTTGTTTTGTTTTTTAAAGATTTTTATTGAGGGATTGGGAGGATGGGAACAGTGCTGGGGAATTGGGGGAAGGGGAACAGACAAGTTGCTGTCGTTTTGTTCTTCAGTAGTTGTGGAGGACGTTGCTTCACTGGCCCAAGTTGGCACCATCATTGCGCTCTTCCCGGGTGAGGCACATCAGTCGCCAGCTTCTGGGTGGCCGCTCACTGCGGCTGCTGACCGCTGGCTACATACGGTAGCCCATGGCAACCCACTGCAGCAGGGGCTGCAGCCTACGCCATCGTCGGCGACTCACGGCAGCCCAGCTCCAGATTGAGCTGTTGTTCAGCATCTTAGCTGTAGAGGGCAGTGTCACTGGCCCTCATATGTGGGATCTGAACCAGGGCCCTGTGGCGTCCCAAGCAAGTTCTTAACCATCGCGCCACTCGGCCGGCCCTGTGCCAGGCAGTTTTTAATAGTCATTAGCTTAGGGATTCCTCACTGTAACCCTGTAAGCTGGGAACCATGATTTATCCCCATTTTACAAAAGATAAAAAACAGACCCAGGGTCATGCTGCTAGGAAGCAGAGGAATTGGGATCGGAATCCCAGCAGTCTGGCTTCAGAGTCTGAGCTCTAGGAATAATGCCCCACACGCGGGATTCTACCTTTGCTAGGGCCCCATTTCCGCAGACAACCTGTGTGCTACTTCACAGAGAAAGCGGAAGCTCTGGGGCCTTAATGCCACAACTTCCTCTTCCTGTCTGGATCTTTTCCCCCTTGCATCCATCACAAGGAAAGCAGTAGCCTTCTGCCCTCCTTGAGGTGTCTCCTTCCACCTTAGCGTTGATTCCCTCCCTTCCTGTCATTCCCAGGATCAAGACCATGTCCCATTGATTCCCAGCCCCTTTACCGCCCACATCCTCCTTTAGCCCTACAAACAGTTAAGTCTTCTGTTTCTTAAAAAGCACTCCCAAATCTCTTCCTTTTACCCTGTGCCTCTAAGTTTCCTTGGAGTAGAATCTCAGTCATGGTTGAACCTCTAGGAAAGGTGTTCAATAAAGGAGGTGAATCCGCATTGAATCAAGATTATTTAGAACAGCGTCCCCCTCAGCTCTGTGTTGTTGGTCAGAACATTGCTATTTTGTTTTATTCTGGGTGTACAATTTGAGTAATACAGATAATTGCATGTTCCTAGTAGAGGTGGAACATGCCATATGGAGACGGAGGCAGTGGAAGAAAATTGGATTGTTTAGCCTAGATGGGAAGAGAAACCTTGAGGGACAAAATATGTTTCAAGTGTGAAAGACTGACATGTGGAAGAAAGAGTAGCCTTATTCTGTGTGTCTCCAAAGCATGTAGCTAAGGTCTGCAGGTGGAAGCTACAAGGACAAGGATTTTATTTTTAATAGCAAAGCTGTGCAATAGAGATTGTCTGCCTGGACAGATGTAGTGAGTATCTTGTCACTAGAAGGGCTGTTTGAATGGTCACGTGGAGGGCGGGATTCTAGAGATTTGAGCTTAGGATATGTTGTTGATTGTATAGCCTTTTAAGGTCTGTCCTAACCTGAAATTCTAGAAGAGCTCAATTTTTTTAGCCCAGTGCTTTTAACCTGGGCTGCACAGTGGAATCACCTGGGAATTTTCAGAAAAAATACTTAATTCTCAGATCCTTCCCTCGATCAGTTAAATCAAAATGTTTTGGCCAGGCCCTGGGCATTGGTTTTTTTTTTTTTAATTGGGGAACAGTGTGTTTTTCCAGGACCCATCAGCTCTAAGTCAAGTAGTTGTTTCAATCTAGTTGTGGAGGGCTCAGCTCCGTGGCCCATGTGGGGATTGAACCAGCAAACTTGGTGTTATGAGCACTGTGCTCTAACCAACTGAGATAACTGGCTGCCCATTGGGCACTGGCATTTTTAAAAAGCTCTGCAGCTGATTCTAAAGTACAGCCAAGTCTGAGAAACACCGATTTAGCTGAATCAAGCTGAATTGAATAAGTTGGTATGGATTTGTTTGTATACTACTAATGGTGACTTCCCATAACTATAACACTGAGTTGTATGTAGGTCAGTATAAAGTAAACACCATCACATATTGTACTTATGTCTGATTCAAACTTGTATGTCTTGATCGTATTAAAATACAGAAGTAAAACTGAATTTCTAACTAACCATAACATGCATTTGCCCAGCATGAGGGATCTTATCTGTGGCTATTTTCATAAAATGTGCACACATGCGTACACACACACACTTTTCATAAAATGCACACACACACAACACGCACGTGTGTGCGCACACACATGGAAAGAAATTTCTCGTAGCAATTAGTAAATAAACGAGGTGATTGTTGGCCTCAGAATAATAAATTGGGCATTGTAAACTTGGAACATTATTGCATTCCCTTTTTATAAGTCAACCTGGGAGACTTTCATTTGGATTATGACCTGGGTCCATGTCATGGTGTGCTGGTAGTGAAGCAGGAAGGACTCTGCAGTAATAAAAAGAAACACTTGACATTGGGTGTTCACTTTTCCTGGGGCCACTCAACGAAAATAAACTCAATACCATTACAAATGCTGCAAATGTTTCTTTGAATTGTTGTGTTTAGTTGTGTCTGTAAAAAAGAAAAATGAGAACTACTCTGAAGTAGTTTTGTACTTGTTTAATTTTCCACTCCCTTCTGTTTAACTTTCTCTTTAAAGCTATTGGTGTCAGTAACCAGAGAGAAACCACTGTAGTCTGGGACAAGTTAACTGGAGAGCCTCTCTACAATGCCATAGGTAAGCTGTCGTGCATGGACATCAAGTCCAAGGCCTTTCTCCAATTGCAAATATTATACTAAAATATCTGGCTAAAAAAAAGCATGCGGTCATGATTCTTATAATCTGATGGGATGGGCAGAAGAATCCTCTTAAGAAACTTGTTATATATTTGCCATTTTCAGGTATTTATTTGCACCTTGAGTTAACTCTTTCCCATGCTCTCCCCTTTTCCTGATTAGTTGAATCATATAAATGGGTCATGTTGCTAGAACTGTTTTATAATCCCTGCTGTTTCTGACACTTAAAAGTATCTCACCTCCTCCCCTCAAAAATCAAAATTACAAATGTTCACAGTCATCTCTCTATAAAGCTCTTGTTGTGTACATGGTCTTCCCACCCAGGAATTTGAATGGACTCTTAGGAGGTTCTGAAAATTAAATCTCAAAATTTTAGCTCCTTCGGCTACAAATTAGGCTATTGCAGTAGGGGTTCCAATCTCAAATAGATTACCATTAGGTATCACGTCTTTTTCAATGTAAATGACCATGAGTATATTTTAGCATCACTCTTAGCACATGACAATTGAGCACTGAATGACAGTCACTTGCTAAAAGGAAAATTTTATTCTAAATATACAGTCACTAAAAAGGCATCATTCCGTTACAAAGAGCAAAGCGTCACAAATAGCAAAGTGCCACAAATAGCAAAGTGCAATTTTTTTGTCAATAAAATACCAGGTTGTGAGGTGGGGGATGGAGACTAAAATTGTCAGATGGGATGGGATGATTTAGAGTGAGCTATTTTTACTTTACAGTGACTTAAGTAATATAGTTACTTTAGTATTAATTAGACGAAAGTAATATTCAAGCAGAAAAAATAGTAAAAAGGTGCCTGTAAAAATACCATGAATCCTTTGGAAATAATCTTTATTAAAAAATTAAGGTATTTAATGTTATCGTGTTATAAGAAAGCATTTAGTATGTCTTCTGTATTTGTGATAAAAAATTAGACTCAAAAAATGTCAAAGAATTAAAACGAAAGGTCCTATTACACAAAAGTACATCCTGTAAATCTTTATTTTGTTCTCATTCTCATGAGCAGCTCATTTTGATTTTAAGTAAAGCAGGATATTAAAATTTGAGTGACTAGTACCTAAGAGAGTATTCTTTCACAGATCAATTTTAGCCAACTTCTTGAACTAGTTAGGGTTTTACTTTTTTTTCCCCCTAGTGAAAGGAACAGGAAAGTTCTTGTTAAACTCTGAACTTGAATTGTAAAAATGTAACTTTGGACTTTGAGTTGTCATTTTCAAATGATGCAACTAGGCTAGTTGAAGTTAAGCTTATAATGAAGGATTTATTTAAGTAAATATTTTACCAGAAGAACTTTTGTATGTGATGTGCTTACTCATTTCCTTTTCTTTTACCTATGTCCCTCTGCACCCCTCCCCCATTCTATGTGCTTTGAAGTATTAATTCAAATTGTACTTATGGAATATGAAGACCTTTTTTCTATACTGAACCACATGCATGTTCGGAGAACCTCTTTATATTGGGTGTGTTATGGAAAACATGAATTATTAGCTGTTTTTGTAAATACTTTGTAATCTAGTTTTGGAAAAAGACTAATGCAAACTTAGGGAATAGTTGATCAATTGTGTGCTGCTAGTTGAATAGGAATTAGAGCAAGTGTAGGTTAGTATGGATTTTGAATTTTTGGCATATATTTGGGGGAGGTTGAACTGCACTCCATTTTAAGTCTTGAAGAATGTGTTGGATTATATTAGGAAAAAGGGAGAACTGAAGGAAAGTGTGAACAAGCTATGAAGGTGAAAATGTCTACACTTATTTCACCAAAGAATGAAGAGACTGATCAGATTCTAGCGTTTTAATGGAATTAGCAGTGATCATAGTGCTCAATAAGTTCTGCCATCACTGTGTGCTAGGGATTGTACGAAACACTTTACCCACATAGTTTAATTCCGGTGACCCCGACCCTGAAGCAGGTTTTACTAGCCTTATATTCTAAATGAATTAAGGAAAAGCTATGTAACTTGTCCAATGCTGTCTAGCTATATGTAGAGGAAAGCCACAGTTTGAACATAAACCTCTCCAACCCCAAAACCTGTGCTCCAATTTGGATAGATAGGGGCTGGTGAGGATAAGAAGGGCGCTGAGGGCTGTGCACTAGGTAACATGGGACAAATGAGTAATAAAGGGGAGTTTAGATTCCCACCGTGGGGGACTAGGTAATTTCAAATGCACCTGTCTACTGAGAACAGCTGGAGAAGTTGGGGGGGAACCATCTGAAGGACTGTAAGGCTATCAAGGCAATGAAGAATTGTGGGGCCAAGATCCAGGAAAGAAGGAAAGCCCAGAAAGGTCAACTTGGCATTTGGTATTGCTTTTTATTCCCTAGAGATATCTATAGATTCTGAAAGGAGCATCTGAGAGGCTAAGCAGCACTTTCATAGGTTCATAAAGATAAGGAGGCAAAAGATGGAGTCAGGGGCTGCCAAGGTAAGGGATGAATATTGGTAAAATCCCAGATTTTGATTGGGACCGTGAAGGACCAATCCTAGAAGTAAGGTAAACTAGAAATAGACCAATCCTCACAGGAACTAAAACCCAGATTTTCAAATAGTTTTAAACCCTGATTGAGTTCCGATGATCTGAGATTACCAATGCTCCTAGCCTAACTTCTTTTCAGAAACAAAAGTGAACCTTTCTGGAGGAAAACTATCTCCAGAGTTTTCATATATAAGTTCTGGTTTTCTATAGCAATCAGACACACAGAACAAGACATGACTAAGAGCCAATAGAAACAAGTGACATTAGAAACAGACCCATAGGAAATCCTGATACTAAAAGTTATCAGACTTTAAAATAACCGTGATCAACATGTTCAAGGAATTAATTGACAAGATTGATAATCTTAGCAAAAAAATTAGACATTTAAAAATGGCAATTCTAGAACTGTATTAAAAACTCAATTCATGAGTTTTACATCAGATTAGACACAGCTGAAGATGAATTAGTGAACAGGAAAGGAGATCAGAAGTAAATATCCAGACTGAAGCACAGAGAGACAAAAATTTAGAAATACAGAATTCTGAGTCTAAGAGAAATATGGAGTGAGGTGACAAGGTCCAACATATTCAAGCCCCAAGAAGAAAAGGAAAAAGATGATCAAGTATTTGAAAACTGATAAAAGATATTTAAGTCACAGATTTAAGAATCACTATGATGAATACAGGCAAGATGAATACACAGAAAGCCATACATAAACGTATGCTGAGACCTGAAGATAAAAAAAAAAGAAAAATTTTAAAGTAACCAAAGGACTCATCTCTCTGCAGTAAAATTGAGACTGCTAATGAGTTGATGGAATTAGAGCATGGAGGTGGAGAATGGAGGGAAGGCAAATCAGAGAACTTTCAAAGGGAAGATACAACCTGTATGTTTGCGAAGTAGATAGGGCATACAGATGAGGGAAAAATAAAATAGGGCTGCAAGACTTTTAGCCTGAGAGACGAGAAGGAAATTAAGTAATTAAGGCTGTCAACCTAGGAGAAAAAAAAATGGCTTTCTTCTTTGGACTAGGTAAGTATCAGATTTGCAATCAAAGCTAATTTCGGGACAAGAAATTTGTGAGTCTATTACAAAGTGATTGTTCAAAATGTATACTTAAAAGTAGATGGCAGAGGTGATAGTCTTAGTTTATTATAGATGAATTCACTATAGGAATGAATGTAAAATTAATTAATCCAACAAAAATGTAGGTGCCTTTCTATGTGCCAAGTTCTGTGATGACCCCAGAGTAATGACATAGAGTGACAAACCAGGCAGGCACAGTGCTTGTTTTTGTGACACAAAAGGCTAAGGATAGGAATTGGGAAGAGGACGAATAGAAAAGGAGGAGAAAGAAGGAGTAATTAGCTGGGAAGAGAAGCCAGTAAGTATTGACAAGGATAGATTCTGCTTCCAATTTTATTTAACCAGGAAGACACTACAGTGTCAATATCTCCAAGCCATCAGTTGAGAATATCAACATAATATTAAATATTTAGCAGCTTCATCTTAAAACAGCACAAGGTGTGATTGGTGGAAACAGACCCAGATTTTCACATATATTTGTCTTTGTTTATATCGCAGTCTGTGGGTTTTACTTCCTCTCCCTCCCCCCATTCCTTGTCTGTTTGTCCTAAATCTGTCACTCTAGGCCTTTCCTTCTTCATTTTTCTCTTTCTCTTTTCTTTCTAAATTATATGACCGTTGAGCAGTGTTTGTTATAGATAGATATGGGCTAGGGTTCTGAGCAAGCAAATAAGAAGGAGCCTGCATTTCTCTCTTTTTTTTAAGATTTTTTATTGGGGTATTGGGGGGAAGGGAACAGTGCTGGGGAATTGGGGGAAGGGGAACAGACAAGTTGCTGTCGTTTTGTTCTTCAGTCT